AGCTTTACTATTGGAATAACCGTTGGAATTTCCATTGAAATATATTACCATAGGATTTTCCGTTGGATATGACAATTTTTTTGTAGTGTCGACTCCACTCATTAAGGTCCGAGTTTAGCTCAACTTGTTTAATAAGTGAACTGAGCTCGACCTTGTTTAAAACTCATTTAGTTAAGATTCGTTAAAACTCAAAAATAACTTTTTTTTTTAATGTAATTTTTATAGCACGTTTCGATATGATTCAATTTTGTCGAAACTAAGCTCAGCCTGCTAATATTGATAAATGGAGTTTTAGTTTATTTATTATTTGCTCCTTTTGTTAACAAGCTAGACTCAGCTGGCCCGTTTTCACTAATCAATTACACTCGATCTCTCAAATCTCTTTTCTTATCTGATCATTTACTTGTACGGAATGTGATCACTTTCCCATAGAGCAAAGATCCCCAAGGCGGGCGACGCTCGTGTTCGCCACTCCAAGCTCGTTGTATTGTCTCCTGGCCCGACGGGCCAACTCGATCCCATTATTTCCCTCTCCGTGTCGTACTTTTCTGTTCTCACAAAGCACGACTTTTTTGCAACGACATTTCATATATAGTCGCGATTTTGATGGTTTTAGGCACAATATTTGTTCCTACTAAAGACAATTGTTGTAGTGGCGGCTGTAGAGGGTTGATACAATTTTTTTTTAAAAAAAAAAGGAGCAGAATTCACCATCTATTTCAATTTCACCGTACAATACAAAGGAAAAAGAGCCAAATGCAAACAAAAATAGTCCCACTCGTTTAGAAATTGAACAAAAATAAATAAAAATGTTGATTATAACGAATAACAACTCATTCCGATAATTAGAATTATAATTGTTAAACGAAACAAAAATTTCGTTAGCTCAACTCAACTTGTTAAGGTTCGAGTTCGGCTCTGTTCGTTTGATAAACAAATCAAGTTTGTGCTCGTTGAAAGTTGTTGATTAAGTTAATGACTGGTCGAAAAGGTGTGTATTTATATATTTATTAGCATATTTTTATATGTTTAATTTTATCGCACTTATATATTTTTCGACTTATTTATTGTTCGACGGATTCAAGTGATACAGTATGTTTTATGGTTTATTTTCAGACTATTAAAATATGGACAACAAGAAATTAAACAAAAACTTCCAACCGGCGCAACATGGGTGTGCAGTGTGCACCATACTAGTCCAGGCCCATATGTTCTAATTGTGGAAGTAAGACCCAATTTTGATGTGAGGTTATATGTGGATGGTTTGAAAAAAGGTTTGGGCCAAGGATTTTATTGCTGGATATATTGAAGAAACTTGTTTGGTGGGCTAATATATTAGGAGGGCATACTTAGGGACTGCGCGAAGGGGAACAATAACGCGCAGGCCTAGGAGAAACTGCACCCGCAGACGAGAAAGATAATTATGTTCATCTCGTTTTCTTTTTATTTATTATGTAAAAGTATATTTATTTCTAGTTTCGTGGATATCAAATCCTATGACTATGTTTAATTAATTACGGTGATTAATTATTTTGTTGTTTCTACGAAACAACTTGTGTTATTTTGTTTGATCAACCATAATGTGTGTGAATTTAATTAGATTGATCACCTAGCTAAATAAGAAATTTCGTGTTTAGTGTTATAATTGAACTTGCAATCTGTTAATTGGTGTTGAGTTTATTTTGTAAGTAGCAATCGAAAGCTGGTAACTGCCAGATATAACACGACATAATTAAGTGAACTGCGCGATTGTGTTTCCACATAGACTAGCCTAAATTTCTAGATCCTAAAGCGGTTGTTGCATTAAATCTAGAGATTTCTAGACTGTCCAATAAGTCAGATTTAACCGAAAAATGTTTCTCGGCTATATAAACTGTAAACAAAAAAAAAAAATCGTGTAGCAGATTATGTTGCTATCCAGAGCTAATAATTTCATAAGATAGTTAATCTTGACGTCACAATTAGTTAGACTAGTCGAGCGAGGATGTAGACATAACTATAAATTAAAAATTTCTCTTAATTTATTTTCTTTTTATTCTCTTATTCAATTCCCTCCTCCATTATGGCCACTTATAATCTCAATTAATACGAGAAAATTCACGATTTGATTCACTCCTTGTGGGATCGACTCTTACTGCTGCTGCTAGTTAGTGGATATTAGTCGAGAAAATTTATAAATTCTAATTTGTCGCGTCACGAAGCACGGTCAGTTAAAATATAGAGCTCGACTCGAACTCGACTATTTAATATGAATAAACGAATCAAACTCGAGCTCAAGCTCGGCTCAGCTTAGCTTGGCTACACCCTAATTTAACACACGTGATATACTATTATGTAAAAAATAAAAACAAACAAAAAGAAAAAGTCCAAAAATAGGGTTAAAAGATAAAAACGTTTTAATTTTAGCTGGTGGTAGTAATCGGATACGAGCTACGGAGCTATTACTCATAAAAGTTCCGAGGGAGAAGAAACCTGCACGGCTGAGCTCTGAACAATGGAGGAGGAAGGTGGAGCGTCGAGGCTCGGGAAGAAGCCGTCTGACAACGGCGGCGAGGTCGATTACAAGACTAAGTCCGGCACAGCATGGTCCCACTCATTTCTGAACCAGAAGCCGTGGCACCCGCTCTCCTACCCTAACCAGCGCCGCAAGTGGATCGCCGAGCAGACCCACGCCCAGCGGCAGCGCCGGGCCGAGGAGGTGGCCCGTGAGGTGCGCCGTGCACTCATATGAATCGTACTCTTTTCCTTTCGTTTTATATGAATTTCCCCCCCTTTTTTCAGCTGCTGCTTGAATTTTTGGAATTGGAAGAAATTTGGGGGAGTTGGGTTGCGATTGGGGTTATTGTGCTCTTTTATTTATTTTATTTTTTTCTTTTTGTGCCTAAGAGTGAATTTCGGTTATGGCTATTGTTTTCTGGCCTTGTTTGGGCTTCCCCTATCTGAAAATGTCCGATTTGTGTTTCGAACTTTATGGAATTGGTCGGGTCGATGATGAACTTTCGGAGTTGGAAGATATTTGAGAGACTTGAGTTGTGCGATTGGTGATATTGTGTTCGTGTTTTTCCTAGGAGTGAATTTTTGGTGATGGCTATTGATTTTTTTGCTTTGTTTTGGGATTCCCCTGTCTGATAATTCCGATTTGTGTTTCGAATTTTATGAAATTCGTCGGATTAGGTCAATAATGAATTTTGGAAATTGGAAACATTTTGGCGAGTTGGGCTGTACGACTAGTGTTATTGTGCTCGGGCCTTTTGCTTAGGAGTGAATTTTTGGCGATGGCTGTTGTTTTTTCGCCTTGTTTGGGCTTCCACTGTCTGAGAATTTTCAATCTGTGTTTCAAATTTTGTGAAATACGTCGGATTAGGTTGATAATGAAATTTTGAAATTGGAAGAGATTTGGGCGAGTTGGGTTTTGCAATTGGTGATATTGTGCTCGGTTTTTTTGACTAGGAGTGAATTTCTGGTGATGGCTTGTTGTTTTTTAGCCTTGTCTGAGCTTACCCTGTCTGAAAATTTCCAATTTGTGTTTAGGAGTTTATGGAATTCGTCGGAGTAAGTCGATAAAATAATCTGAGTTTTTTTATTTTTGTCGAAAGAAAAGGTGATTTTATCGGTAAAAATCCATCTTTGTTGCGTTGCCTAATTGCACCTCTTTATTCATATGGTTGCAGTTTATAATGGCTGTTGATAGAGTACTAAAACTTATTTTTAAGCTGTTATTTTTCATCCTCTTCTATTCTTTACACCTCTTCTATTCTTTACAGTATGCCCAGGAGCAGGAATTTCTTCGGCAGACGGCACTTATCTCCAAGAAAGAGAAAGAGAAGGTATTAATTATTTCGAACTATATGAATGGCCATTGCAAATAGAGCTGGAAGAGTCATTGTTGACAATTCTCCTGGCATAGTGCTAATAATGGACTAGATCAAAATGGCTCAATTAAATTCTAGTGCTTCTTCTATTAGTGAAGTTTTTAGAAAAAAATATCAAACGACGCCAATGCACCTTGGGTCGCTACGGAAATAGCCTCCTTGTATAATTACAAGGGTAAGGTCTGCGTACAACTGACTCCCCAGACCCCAACCAGTTGGGAATATACTGGGTATGTTGTTGTTGTTGTTGTATGAAGGATATGGCCTATACTAGGACCCCTGATCAACCAATGAGAAGGAAAATAGACTCCATTCTTGGCATACGTAGATACGTAGTTTAGGTTATAGGAACGCATATTCATGTGTGAATTTGACTGGATTCTCTTTTGCATGTGATGCTCAGCTAGAATTGATGAAAGCTGTGAGCTTTATGTATGTCAAACCTCCCGGATACAACGCAGAAAGTGCTAAAGCTGCTGAGATTGCCGACGAGAAGAGAAAGCAGGAAAGTGAGAGAATTGTGCAGGAACCTTCTCTAGAAGGGACCTCTTCTTCACTGTAATAGTTTATACCTAATGCTTTTTTTTCGTACAGTATGGTGATCCACGTGACATCTAGCTAACAAATTTATTTCTACACTATTGTTTTTGTTTAGGAAAAAAGTGATTTCTTAATTTCGATTTCACTTGTCAGAGTAACAAGCTATCGTGTTGCTTTCCTAGGAAAACGGAAACTACCCCCTCTGTCGTTGAGAAAAAGAAGCCAAGGCCAAAAGATATTTATGGGCGTCCTTTACCGACAGAAGAAGAATTTGAAGTCCTTAAAAATGCTCCAAGGTTTGTTTCAGCATTGATTTGTGGATGATCAGTTGACGTTATTCAAATTCTACCATGGACTGGAAAGAAAAATTATGATTATTTGTATACTTGCTAATTATGTTACTGTATTGAGAATAACTTTGAGATTATTTGGAGAAAACGAGTCCGATGTTGTTGTTGATGTGTATATTTCATGGGAAGAGGGTGGGTGGATGGTTTTCAGGGTATTGCCTTTAGAGTTTCAAGGAATATTATGATAAAATCCTCTCTCATGACTGATCGTTTGATCTTTACATTTGGATTTCACTTGTTGAAAACAGATAGTCAATAATGGTATTGTTTTCCAGGTTAGAGACTGGTGTTGCTGGTAGAGCAAAACCATTTGGTGTTGAAATTCGCAATGTAAAATGTCTCAGATGTGGTAACTTTGGGCACCAAAGTGGTGATCGTGAGTGTCCTTTAAAAGATGCTATAATGCCTAATGAGGAAAATCGCTTGAAAAGGGATGACCCTCTAACAGCCATCCTGGCTCAAACTGATCCAACCGAGGTATTCATTTGATTATCTTAAGATGCTTTTGCTCATATCACGCTTTATAATTGAATTCCTAATTTCCATTCTGCTTCGTTTTGATTGCTTGAATTCTGGATTATACTTTTCACCAAAAGTACTTTTTGTGATTAGAAAATTTTCATTTGAATACAAACATTTGAATACAATAGATGCTAAACTGTCACAAAAGAGTTGAGAAACAAACATATCACAAACATTTGGTTAAATTATATCCGTCTTTTTGGAATTATTCTTTCTTTCTTAAGATTTCCGATTATTCTTTTATATTTAGTAACACGCAGCTGGTGAGAATGAATTCGACGCTCTTATTCAAAATTAGATATAGTGGTTAGTGATTGCTTATCAATTTTCAGAACTTGAATTTTTTTTTCCCATTTTAGTTAGTCTAAGACTAGAAATTATATCTTAAGACCCATTCAGGGTGACTTTTTGTCAACCCAAAAACACACTTGATTTTAAATGGTCCGCTCGTGTTGGATGATCTGTGCTTTTTTTCCTTTTCTTTCTTTCTAAAACATTATCTTCTCTCATCACAGCCGTTGAAATGGGAACTGAAGCAGAAGCCGGGGATGAGCCCTCCTCGTGGAGGCTTCAACCCAGACGACCCCAATCAGCAGATAGTTGCTGAGGACATATTTGACGAATATGGAGGTAACTAACAAGCTTCGTTCTTTACACATGAGAGGCCAGCTCATCAAGATCTGGTCTAATGACGAAACTCATAAACTTCCCAATTTACAAAAAATCCCAATAGACCTGGAGAGGGTTCACCTTAATCAACGTATATGTTTCAATCGAGCTGCCTTTTAGTGATTTTGAGTGGTGTACGAGTTCATTAAAACCGTGGGCATTTTCCATTTACGTATGTTTTATGGTAACGCAGGATTCCTTGGTGACTCCAACATACCGGACTTGTTGACCAACTTTTCGTCAGAAAATGCTAAGAAAAGGTCCAAAAAGAGCAAACACGACAAGAGGAGAAAATCAAAGACGAGACACAAGAGCAAGATCCGAAAGTATTCGGAGTCTAGTTCGTCCGAGAGCCCCTCGGATGATGATAAGAGTCGAAAGAGGAGGCACAACAAACACAGGCGGCACAATCGTTCGAATTCTTGTTCGTCTGAGGATTCAGATCGTGAAGGGTCCCGTAGAAACAGGCACCGTCACAGTTATCGAGATTCTCATCGTCACCATCATCGGCAACCGGGGTATTATTAGTGTTTCAACTTTTTTTTTTTTTTTTTTT